GGCTAGTATTTTGCTAACTTTAGCTTTTAGCTACTGTGGCTTTCATTAAGCATTTTACTACTTTGAGCTACAGTTTGGCTATTTTTAGCTTTTAGCCAGCATTTTTGCTTGAGCTTTCAGATATCCTTTTGCTACTTTTAGCTAGCTTTTTGCCACATTTAAAAACCATTACATTTTTTAAAAACACTAATCATCAATATAGTTTTACTACTGCTGTTATTAATCATATGTTATTATATTTCATGAACAGCCTCTACTTTTAAATTGTTCTTTTACATAGAAAATACACATTATTTTAAAGTTTTATAGTTTGATGTAATCTAATCTCAGCCCCACTGTTCCAACATAAATAAACCGTTTTATTAATTTCACAACAGAAGACAAAAATTCCTGTGAGTCTTTGGCTGAGCCTTAAGTTTTTGGAAGCTATGAAGTCAGATGAAGTCAGGTTTGTGTCTCAGMCTTAATAACAACCATATTGTCCAAGAGGGATCAGTGAATAATGTGCTCCTCCAACACTAAATTCACCCCAAGTTCAGATGTCATGTTTATTTAGTCTGATAGTCTGCAGATGAATATGGTGCAGTGACAAAATTTGGGAATTTGCAAGAATGTTCCAGTAAATACTTCTGCCTATCTGTGTGAAGACTGAGTCAATGAATTTTCTTTCATTTCACTGCAGAGGAAGTTTGGATTACCTGGATTAAACTGGTTTTCCAGACCACACTGGCGTCCTGATGTCAGAGCTTTKCTGATTCACGAGACTGCGTGCGTTCTGCAGATAGTGATACAGACCCTAATTACTGCTTTTATTCGCCCACTCCAAACTGTTTTAMCTCTGAAAAGACACTTAATTCAAAAACTAACTCGTAAATCTTCCTGTCACATTAAAAAGAAATATAGATTCARTTTCCGGCACATTTTAAACCCTTTTTTTAAAGGGTTCTTGTGATGTTGCTATGGATGCAAACAGTTTACTGGCACAGGTCACGACAAAGAGAAAGTTCTGGATCGCACACAGGCCTTTTCTGAGAAGCAAATAAAGTAGGAGGGACACACCTATCCCTTTTTTTAATGTTTGACGAGGAATTTTTAATTTCCTTATCCTTCCAGTCTAGACTGCAGACCCTTTGCCTCAGGAGGAGAAAGGRTAAGACTGATTTATCCCTCTCCTACCAAAACAAACACTGCGAGAAAGTGTTGCTCACTGGACGTGCGGACGTAAGAAGCGGGCAGAGTTTCAAACGGCTTCACTGCTTCCTTGCTGATTAAAAAACAATCATGCACAAACAATTTCCTTTCCTCATCTCTCCCGCTTTTCCTTCTCTCCACTCCCACCTCCTTGCGTGCGTTGGTCACGAGTGTCCTCACTCCAGCCTTTGTGTAGCGCCCCAACCTGCTCTGCTATGTGGATGACTCAGTGCATCAAAAGGCAAGGTTGCAGGCGCACACACGACACTTTAATACGCACGTTTAAAAGAAGTAAAGATATTTTTAACCATTAAAGCCTGTTTTTCTTGCACTGCAATTTGGTGCTAATATGAACAGATAATGAAACATGAAATTCTGACTTTTTTTGTATCTGAGTAGACCTGCAGGGCATCAAGATTTCCATGCCAAAGAAAAGGACATACAAAAGTTAAGTGTCTTATCATATAATTAGTAGTCTCACCTAAGTGGGAAAATTCCTCTTGCGTGATCATTTAATCGGGGAATGTAATGATTTGAACATCTGCAGCAGGTCTCACCCTAAACCCCATGGGTGGCTGTTTTTCTGGCCAAATGTTTTGGCATTATCCTGAGACTGTATGCTCCTTTTAGAWTCATAAAATCTCAAATTTATCACTCCAAACAATTTAAGAACTTAATGCACTTCTCTCATTTAAGGTATTGTCTAATTTCTAGTGTCATGAGCACTCAAAAAACATGTAGTGGATTTAATTAAAAATATCTCAACTGTTTTCACTCAACTGAACTGAGTTAATATAAAGTAAATGTGTTACCTTCAACTCAATTGAGTGGAAACTGTTCACATCATTTTTTTTAAATTAAATCCATTGTATGTTTTTTTGAGTGTATAAAACATATTCACCTCTTTTTAGATGTTTTAATTTGGTCGCAGCTGGGTCCTAGAGGGCGCATGGGAATTCACCCAACCAGTCTACATGTGTTTTGTGGACTTGGAGAAGGCGTTCGACCGTGTCCCTCGGGGACTCCTGCAGGGGGTACTCCGGGAGTATTGGATACCAGGCCCTTTGATATGGGCTGTGAGTCCC